TGGAAAGGTACAATTCTGTTAGCAATGTAGCACTCAGGAGCCCCTTCAGAATCCTAGTCTGGAAATCCCTAGGCCATCCTATTTCTTCATGCCTTTATGAGCTGGCTGCTCCCTTCCCTCAGACGTCCTGAGGCAAGAATGCCTGCTCCCCAAAATAGCTCAGAGCTGACATCTTTACCTGTGATGCTTGCTCAGCGCCACGGTCTCTGATGCACAAATGAAGCAGCAGTGCTGAAATGAAAGATAAGAATTTTTTAATTGCAGTCGATGAACTACTAGGATTTTGAATCCTTTTTACATCCTCAGCAATTTTTTATTAGCATCGCTTTGAGAAACAGTAAAAAAAAATAAAAAAAGTAGTTCAAGGATTCTTTTGGGCTTCACTCTGATTTTGGGGTTGAGCTAAATGTTAAATCGCTAAGGACTAAAAATATTTCTTCTAGATTTTCTTTCAATTTAAAATGGTGGGCAACAATGCAATTTCACTCCTCTTTAGCTGGCACTGGTCAGGCTACATGGCAATTATTCTGTCCAGCTTTGCGTCCCCAGACACAAGCATGTTTACCAACAGAGTGAACTAAACATAGAGTCACCAAGACCCTTCTTGCTATATGAGATAAAGCTGAGGAAACAAGGCTTGTTCATGCCAGGGGGAAAAAATAAATCTACCTACCAGCAGCCTGCCAGTACTTACAAGGAGGTTTTTGGGAAGATGGAAACAGGCTCTTCACTGAGATGTGTGATCATAGAACAACCAGAAAATGAATAAGGGAGTGTCCAGACAGGATATAAGGAGAAACTTTTCCACCATGAGAAAGTCAGACCTTGGTGCAGATTATCCAAAAAGTTTGTGTAGGCTCTATCTTTGAAGGCTTCCAGTGCCTGACTGGATAAACCCATAGAAGCTAGCTCTGACTTTCAACAGGCTCTACTTGGAGGTAAGATCTTCCTAAAGCACTTCCTTCCAGACTATGTGGTCTGGACTAATTTCTGGCTCTCTCTAGCAGTGCACACTACAAACTGATCAACATTGTGGCCTCAGCCTGTGGTGACTCTATACAGTGATTATCTTAGTGGAGCTCAAGGACTTGGGGGAGGTATTGAAGGCCTTCCTCCTCTTTTGCTGAACATCTGGGGGTTTCAAGAAACACTGCCTTCAAGCTCTGGAGCATTCTTATAGCCCACAGTGTTAATGCCTAGTGTACTGACACTGCATTCAAGCCCATCCTTTAGATATCCTGGATGAGTCTGAATTATTTTGGTCCTCATATTCTGTTTTATAAAACAGAAACACCCACAGAAAGATGCAGAAAACTTTCACAGAGATTTTAATCCAGTGCCATGCTACAGAAGGCTGCTTTGTCCTGCTTTCCATTTGCACAGCTCCTAGAAGTACAGTGTGCCACAGGGATATGCAGCTAAGGCTTTAGCTGGGTCTCATAAATATGGGTGTTTCCCTAAGTATTTGTTGATGTGCTTTATCACTCTGTTTGGAGCCATTGGCCATTTAAAAATGCTATTATTAAATGCTTATGTAGTAGCAGTCATCCAGTTCTGCAAAAGGTGCTTCTCCAGCCATAACAACTCTGCATTGAAATATCTAATGATTTGCACAAAACCATTTTTGTGGTTACTGAACAAACACAGACAGCCTCACATCTGTCAGAAACAGCATGCTAAGCCAGAGATTTTGCTTTCTGAGAGTAAGGGGACACACCAGAGACTTCTCTGTCTAAACTGGGAAAGTTATTTTCAATATGACTACTCTCTGCCATACGAGGCAGTGGAGGTGGAGGTGTTCAGGGCTCAGGGATTGATCTCTTCCATGTTCCCACTGCTGGAGGGGACTTAAAATGTTTTATCATCCTGGCCTTCTTATCCAGCCAAGCAAAAGTTTCTCCACATAGCAACACACAATCCTCTGCTAGAAAGTTAATGTAAGTCCCAGAGCTGTGGTGACAGTCCTGAGGACTGCAAAAATTGCCCCAGATTGTAGCCAGATCCATGAATACACCAACATGTTTTAAACAGGCACTCTCCCCATCCAAGCTCATGCCCCTGTTATATCTGAGCATGCAGCCACAGGCTGCCTGCCCAGACAGCCGAGGACAGTGATCTGGGAAGCACACTGAACTCCTCCAACCAAACCCTTCCACAGGGAATGATGTGACAGCAAGAGAGGTTCCATTGCCAGCTCTGGCACAAATTCATGGCATGTTCTGCTGCAGCTGTCTCCCTGCCAGAACTCAATACAGGGCTTGGTTTGGATTACCTTACTGCAAAGTTTCAGAGCAGAAGGAACTATGACATTGTTTAATGGAACCTCTCATGTATCAAAATTACACCTTTTGTACAAAATAGAGAGTAGACCTGGATTTGATTAAAGACACCTGCTGGACAGGCATTTGTGGCACAGAAACCTCTGCCTGGAGTGCAGACTTTGGCATCAGGAGCTGCACTGCTGTTTGCCTGGGACAGAAAACCATCTGCAGTATCTGAAGAAGGGGGGAATAATAGCAGCCTTTTCTTTCCCTCTGCTGGCAGAAAAAAGAGGAGGATTGTAGCCTTGTGCTCATACCAAGCCTTCAGAGCTTGGTGCCTCATACTTCCTTCAGTAAGGGACATGTAACTAGAAACGATCATATGGATATTTCTCTTCCTTTTTTTCCCCCATTGTTTGAATTTACCTCCTTTATCAATCTCTGTGCAAATATTTTAGATTAGAACAAGTGTTTGCAGCCTGGTGATATAGTCATGACAACAACGTTTTATAATGAATAGACTTGACAGCCCTCTAACTATTGACTCTCACATTAAAAAAAATGGATGGAGATTTCCAGCAGAATAATTATACACATGTAAAACCAGTGATTAATGAGATTTTTCTAGGAGAGCTAAAACCACTGAATCATAACATGCAACTTTCATATCAAGGGTAACAATCACAGTGTCAGGAACTTGTAGCCTTGCATAAAAACAAAAGCCCAAAATCTGTACTCTTTTTACAATCCACTAAAGCTATCAATTTCTCTGAAGCAGCGTGGAATATGTGTCAGGGGGAATTTATGCTGCACAGTTTCACATTAGTTATTATCCTGATATCAGCTCTGCATTGTGAGGCTTCCAGTTGATCCAGTGGCCCCCATACAAATCAGCCTGTTCACATAAAATAATTATTCACCTTTGCATACTTCACCTTCCAACCTCCAAAAACATTCTTGTAAAGCTTAAAAAGGACAAAGCTTAAGAGCTGGCTGGGACTTTTGTTGTTTGCAGACTTAGCCCTTAAATATGTTGATGCCAAGGACAGAGAATGGGGAGACATAGAGCCTGCCTCCACATACCAAAACCCATCATGTGCTTCTACCACTTCTCATTTGCCATGGACAGGAAGACAAAATATGGAAATAGTGCAGGAAAGGTCATTCTCCAGTTACTTCAAACCCAGCTGAAGCTCTGATCTGCCAGATGTCTTACATGCAAGCTGAGGTTTTTCATGAAATTCTGTATCAATTTCCACACCAAAGAAGTTCAGATAAGCTTACACCTCTGCCTGAACCTCCAAACCTTTTGAAGTTTGCCATCACTGCAGTTTTTCTCCCATACTGCTGTTTTCCCTCACTCTGACTTAGCTCTTAACAGAACTACCCAGCCCTGATAACCATGAAGAAAATGATAGGAAAGAGGACTTAAAAATAGAAGCAAAAGTAGTGTTTTCAGAAATTACAGGCTGGCACATGGAGAATTATGGCCAGTGATCCAGGGAAATCCTAACATAGGATATCTGGTAAGTATGACTTTGAGCACATGCCAGTAAACCTAATACAGGCATTTGCTTGTGTTATTTTGTACCTCTGCTCATGCTGAGCTGTTGTGCTCAACCATTTAATCTGAGATGGCAGAAGGAAGACCTACATTCAGAGAGATGTGGGCCTGGAAGTCAGGAGATAGCTTTCAATTTCCAGCCCTGTTGCCTGCTGCCCTGGGCAGGTCACCTCACCTCTTACTGTCCTGACTGCACACAGAGGAGTCAGAAGATCTCTCTCTTTCCTAGGCTATGGTGAGGCTTCACTCATCTTGCACCAAAGATGATCTTCCAGTGAATTGCTAGCATGTTTGACTAATATGAAGGTGGGCTAAATTTTGGTGCTCTTATTCATCTTGGAACATGTGAAGCCCAATTTTACCTCCTGTAAAGCTGGGATCCTTAAAGAAGTAGCATCAACACCTTCTTTGGTTTGATGGTAGAGAAAACTGAGAGGGCATAGGTGAAATTTTGAATAATGAAAATAAATTAGGAAATTGAACTGTTGCCTGCAAACCAGAGGCACAATTCCCTAGAGTGCTTTTTCCTGGGGCCAGGAGCACAATGGCTATTTGTTATCAGCAGAGGTGTAGTGCTGCCATGGTAATTGAAACAGACTGCTCCCTCCGGCATACACCAAGCAGCAGTGGTTTGCTGTGAGGGGGGGGCTAGACAAGAAGGAGAATGGGAGAAAAAACATGTAAAATATGGGTAAAAGTGCCCATGAATATCTAAAAGCGTGACCTCATTGTGTTCAGCATCACACCTAGCCCAGCAATGCCACAGGTGGCAGATCAGCAGTGCCTATTTACCTGCAGCTTTGCTTCCAGGAGAGCAGTGCTTGCCTTTCACTCACACAGCTCTCCCTCAGGCTGACAGGTTGGCAATTGCTGCTTGATCGCTGGAATATTTTATGCAATAGGAATCTCCTGCAGGGATGTGGTAATGCAGTCCTGGTGTCTCCCTTGGTTTCTCCAGCTGTTCCATGCCCAGCTGTACCTTTGAGCATTGTAAAGTGTTAGATGTTGATCATGATCAAAACATCTATGGCTGGAAGAAAAGAGAGAGATTTGCTTCACTTCTCTGTGGTCAGGACAAAGATGGACAGTATTTTGTTGGTAATAGGGTTTTCTTCTGTTTTATGTTCTTTTAATGTACTCCCTAGACTTATTCTCTGTTATCTCTCACTGTGTAGAAAAAGACCTGTGGATTTCCTTCAGCTCTCTGCCAATATCTACATAAAACTTCTGGATACATAAAAACATGTGGACAGAGCACCAAAAGAAGCACTCTTGACCCTTTATTTCATTGTTAGCAATTGGGAGCACTGTTACTGCTCAGAATAACAGAGATATTCAAAGTGTGCTGGATGCTGGTGGGCAAGACTCAATAGCATGGCTCCAGCCCTGGGTGAGCATGATGAGGGACACTGGCACACCTCAACAGGTGAAGAGACTCAGATCTGGGCTTTGATGAATGGTCCTACTCACAGGCTCCTACTCACTGAAGCCCAGAGTCAGATGTAGACCTCATGTCTCAAATTATCCCTCTTAAAAATAATATTCCTAGGATGTTTGGACCAAAGAAACAGCAGCAAATAGCTACAATTCTGCAATTATTTTTCTTAATGCACACAGTATTTCATGACATCTCAGAAAGGAACCTGGATGCTAAATTCCCATTTCCTTTACAAAGGCTGTTGCAGGAATGCATTGGTGGAGTGATAATGAAAGCCAGCAGATCATTTCATCATTTTGACTTCCAGGGTGGCAATAATAAAGCTCTGGGCTCCTGTTTCATGCTGTTTCCAAATGAACAGCACTTCTTTTGCAGCCACTGAGCTGGACATTTGCTGCATCATGCTGTCCTGGAAGCTCACCAAGAGATTGAGAACCACTCTGGATTTTTTCTCCCCCTCACATCTTTACTAGATATAAAAGTTTTACAGGCCAGATCCTGGAGTAGAAGTTTCCTTGCCACCATTCCTGACCTGTTAGTCATGAGCAAGTCCACTTCTTCCATAACAGAATCATGGGATGCGGTGCGAAGATAAACAGGAAGCAGCAAAAGCTATTTTAATTACCAAAGATGGAACATATTTGGAGGACAGATATAAAATCTACTGATCTCAGTGGAAGCCTTTTCCCACTGAACTAAGCAGGCTTTTGATCAGATCCCCAATTAAGGAAAATGGTGTTTCTGCTATTTAGCTCTTCTTCACTGTAGGCTGATCAACCTCTGCCTTTGTTGCTCATATCAGAGTTGGCCCTCTGACCAGCCTGGGCAGAAACACTGGCTCCTTGACTTGGCTGGTCATTCTGCCTTTTACTTCACCTCTCCATTTCCCTGCTGCTCTTCCTGGTTGCTCTATGCTCTTTTTGCTGACTCCCAGGAGAAGAGACAAAGTTTTACAGAGAGGCAGTGAAGCTGAAATGGCTGCTACTGAGAAAGAAATCCCTGGGTCTTCACAGCCCTGCAGAGTTGCTGAAAAGTACAATAAAGATGAGTGTGGTGAAGAATGTATAAGAATGGAGATTGCTTTAAAGGGCCCATGAGATTGATATTGCTCACAAACCATGAGACACCACCTCTCTAAGTGGCAGGGACTGTTTCTCCACTCTAAGAGATCCTTATCCTCCTCAGGACATCTGCAGGAGACCATTTCTGTAAATTGCAGTTCAAAAGTCTGTCACCTGATGCGACTCCTGGGGGCAAAAGCAGCACCACTTCAATGCTATCCCAGCATGAAAAAGTTAATAAAGTACATGTCACTGAGAAACCAATTGTACCTGCAAGGTAAGAAAAGGTCACACATGAATGCATGAAAACTGGACATGCTACATAAACTGTTGATTGAAATCTGCTTTTCACTCGTATGCGAACACATTGAGTACAAACAGGATCAGGACACAAAGAAAAATAAGACTGAAAATTTTTTACATTAATGAACTTTAGCTAGATTTTCTTTCACTTTATTTTTTCCATGGTACACTGGCTACTTAGATGTTAGGTGGGCTGGAGATACTTTCTCATTTTTCTAGCAATTAAAATACTGAGACCAATGTTATGTACAAAAGAAATAAAATAATTTGGGTTACTGGCTTCTTTCCTGATGTAAAATTCTGGAAGAATTTGATGGCCTCTCCTCTGAATTTCAAAGCAGATGTTACTTGGTGCCAGCAGTTGGATCAGTCTGTGGTGTAAATGATGGTGAGCACAGTGACAGTGCTGTTGATTTCATTACGGCAGCTCCTATAACACTGTGTCATGTGCTTTATGGTCTTAAAAATAACAATTGCATAAGCACAGCCTGCAGTGCCAGAAGTCATATTATCTCCAGGACAAAGAGAGATGCATATGGACTTAATGAAGAGAAAGTGCAGCATTGGTTAAGACTGTAAATGAAATAGGAAATTATTTCATCTAGAGGAGCATATTGGGTGCCATTGCTTTGTTATCTGATTTCCTGTTGCACTAGTAGAGACAGCGTGTTTTAATTAAGGTTTTATAAAGACTTCATTGAGAAAAGATTTATGGAACCAGATTCTGTTATTGCAGTTCTATCAAAACCAAAGGGCTGTGTGGAATTGCCTAAAATTTTCCAGAATTTCCTTTTAAAAGCATGCTGGTGAAAAGCTATGATTAAAATATGCAAACATAGCCTTTCCATATAGTCATATGACACTTCTGTCATCCTGATTTGAAATAATTTTTTGTCTTTTTAACAAATTTCATGTTGTATAATATAGTAGATTGCACATAGTCAGAAGCATATTCATAGCACTCCAATTTGCCCTTTGTATGTTTTGCACATTATACAGTGCAATATAATGCAAAACGAGAAGTCAAATCCATAAGGAAACAGATCTCAGGAAAGCCATTTAAGAAGACAGGAAAGCTAGAAAAGTGTTTTTACCTTGACACTAACAAATCTAGAAAGGCACAGAAAAGGTTACTGCAAGACAGTGTGCACATGAATACATGCACACACATACAGAGCCATGCAGTATGGTATAATCCTTGCTCAGTCTCCGTATATTTGGTCCCTGGCTCCATTTTGACAATTGATGAAATGACATACACTGAAAGTCCTTTTTGTCCAAAGTTTGCAATTGCAATACACAGGATATGAAAGAAGCATCATGACCTGGTGAAACCAGACCCAGAAAAAACCTCACTGTTTTCAGTTCACAAAAAAATGTGAAGTCCCTTTTTTGTAAAGAGTTTAAGCTCTCCCATGAGAGCTGAATGCCTAAATGTCTTTGAAGATTCACCCCTAAACAACAGCTCCAAGGACCCAAAAAAACATATAGCTGAGGGACATACATAAGCCAGATATTTCTAATGTGCTAATTGAATGCTTTACCCACAAAAATCAGCTTCCTTCCCACCTGCATGAGACTGCTGCTCATGTGGCATTCACTGCCTTATGTTCCCCTGTGATAACAGGTTGTAACCGTATGCACAGTAGTCTAAGCTTCTCTCAAGTAACAAAATTATTAAAATCCAAATAGTGTTCACTACCACAGCTTGCTTCAATAGCCAAAATTGTAGAAACAAAAGAAATCCTCTTTAATTTCTTATTGAATGCTTTGATGGTGTTAGAAGGAGTGTCCTGGATTTATTTATTTATTATGTTATATTAATAAAGCAAAGAATTATAGGGAACTGAAAAGCTTTGAAGAAATGCCTTTCAATCCAAACCAAAAAAGATTATTGTTGAGTAAGCCTAAACTCTTTACAAAAAAAAGTAATTTAAAATGACCAGAGCAAAGTCAATGTTCACTGTTATAGGCTGCATCATTCATACAGCACAAGACCACTGCTGAATAACCTAGAGTTGTTAAGGCCCAGATTTTGCTCAGAGTAAGGTCTTTATCAGAAGTGGCAGTAGAAAATTGTGCAAATGCCTGGAAAGCACATAGAGATGATGCCATGATACCAACAGGTTATGGAATATTTCTCCTTCTAAGCTATGTGCCATTTTATTTGAAGGTCAGACCACCTTCAGTTAAGAGCAAAAGCTGTAGTTCCTGTAACAGAATAATTAATTAAGATTCAAATGAGGGGTGAGTTTTTATTAATCACTCTGCTATCTTTTTCCCAAACCATCATACTGGTATGTGGAAAGATTGTTAGCCATTTCTTAAGTCAAAATTGTTTAAATTGCCTTCACATTGGCATTGACAAGACCATCCTAAAGTCTCTTTTTACTAAAGCACACTGCTCTTTCTCATTGAATTAGTGCCAAGGGTGTATGGAGACCTGCCCAGACAAATTAAACAGGGAAGGAGGGAAAGCCATGGCCCCATCAAAATCAATTGAAACACCTGCAGCAGGCATCTGTATGTTCAGGATGGTCTTTTGCTCAAGAAGGCTACAGCTGGAAGCTGTATTTATCCTCTATCAAACACCATGGAAAAAAGAGAGTCTTTCCCAAGGCATATATTTTGCCCTTAAAGACTTTATATATGCATAGCTGAGTCTCCCCTGGGTCTGAGTGCCGTAGGTCAGATGCAAAGCTGCTTCTTAGGCAGAGTGTCACCCAGTTTTAGTTTATGCTTGAAAATCTCAGCATTTCCAAGGGAGAAATGTTATTGCTGCAGCATTTGCATGGGTGAGCACCTCACACTTTGTACTTAGGATGCTCTGTGAAGGCTTGTTCCTGGCCTTACACAGCCTCTGGCTCTTGTCCCTGACCTGCCTGAGAGGAAGAGTCTGCTCTGGACACAATCCCATCACTGTTGCAGTTAAACTTTGATTGCAAATGGAACAAGTTGTCTTAGGAGTTTCTGTTTCAGAGAGTGGAGTCAAGCTGCAACAGAGGGAGGGTACCAAGTGATACAGAAGTTTTCTAGGCATAGGAGCAGTGCAGTGACCCTCAGGAGGTACACTGCAGCTTATCCCTTCTCTCCAGTGACTCATGATACCATTTTCAGCTGTGTGGGAATAGGGTACAGCATTATACAAAGGAGTTTCTGCTCACATCATCAGTGATAGAGAGATGGGAAATGATGGAAGAATAATTATTTTAGCTTCCAGAAAAGTTCCAATTAAAAATAGATTTTAAAGTAATGCCGAGTTATTAATTAATCAAAAAGCTGTGTAAACAGTAAAAATGCTATCTCATTTCAGGCAACCAAATGGAAGCAAGGAAGCAAGAGAAAGCCTTAGAAACGTTCATGTTGATTTGTCAGATGCTGATGACCACCATGCAGAAAGCACTTTCCTTCACTGTCACCCTCCCACTGCCTGCTAACCCCCCACAAGGCCCAGCAAGCAAAGTGCCATACCACCAATTCACCACTGAGACACAGAGGAAGCAAGTTTTCTTTCTGCTTCCTGTATATATATATATATATATATATATATAATTTTTTTTAAAATTTTTTTTTATTGTACCATGCAACTCCCTCCTCAGTGGAACATACCCCAGTAGTGTTAGGGGCTATTACTGGAGACTGAGGATTGGGAATACTCCTTACCAGCACGGCTGGTGGCACAGCCAGGCTCAGCCTAGTGTGGGTGACTTCCCCAATGCTTGAAGGAGGTGTTCCGGTGCAATGAAAGAAGTGAGCATGGACATCTCTCCAGGAAAACACCCCATGCTTCAAATCAAAACACAGAGCCTAGTGGACAGATCTGCAGAGACTGGCTTGGCTAAAGACAGTTTAAACATTGAAAAATACTACTGTGTGCCTTTCCAGAAAAAACACCTTTGACTCATTCAGAAATTACAACTAGAAAAGTGAAATATGAAATGAAATTTGAAATATTTCCAGATCTGATCTGACCCTTTCTCCGTCAGTTTTTACTGACAGCAAAAACACCTTTTCTGCTTTAGGGCAGAAAGCTTCCTTGGAACATTCTAGGATGGTCTTGGACATTGAGACTTAAAATGTAATTTAATAGTCTTGTAAGGAAATAATGTGGAAGGTTGAGATCATCCAATCAGAGAATAAACAGAGGCTGTGTATCTTATGAATGCAAATAAAATTCAGGAAAATGTGAATATCAAATGCTTGTTTTTGAACACCCACTGATAGCTTGAGACTCTCTTACATATTATTTTTCTTATATGTACAGATAGCAATGAAAACAGGAAATGTCAAAATAGAAATTATTTCAAGCACCTGTGGGTTGCAGATAATATCCTTCTTTTTGTAAGAAGCAGTCCAAGAATATCTACTTCCTATGGTACTATAAAACTGCCTTTCAAATTCTCTATTAAAGTAATACATTCTGTTAAATTTAATATTTTTTCCTGATCAGATAGTTTATAGAGATTATTAGTAAAATATTTTGAACAACAGCTAAATTAACCACAATGTATTAATAGACAAACTGGTAAAGAGAAAACAGAAGAGAAATTAATTGAATAAATTATTCATTACAGTTTATTCAGTCAGCTTTGATTTAAATGCTTGTTAATCCTTTGAGGGTTAATGTAGTACAATGTTACAGTAGCTCTGGTCAGGAATTCCAATAGATGAAGTATGATTTTTTTTTAATTTTTTTTTCTGAAAAGCAGCACTCTCAGATTTTCCATGAAATGTCAAAGCTGAATAAAAAATTATTTTGGGGCTCTCAGAACATATTATTTCACTAGTCGTTTTCTCCAGCAAGAAAATAATAATTTGTTTCAATAATGTCAAAACATTACAGTATAAAGTACTAATATAAAACAATAAAATAATACAGTATCATAAACCCTGGAAGTATAATAAATGTGCCAGATTTTCTCCAATAAAAAAAAATATTAAAAGTAATAGCTGTTCTGTGGAAATTTGGACAGACTGAACTGTCTCATGACCTTTATGGACTGTGCCAAAAGTTCATGCCCTCTTTCCTTGTCCATACTGCAGGGCAAGAAACCCCTATTCATCACAAATCATAATGCATTATGATCATTCAATTCATTCAATTTCTAAATTTAACTGCAAATCTTTATCAAGAAACCTCCTCACAGGCACAGTGTTCAGCATCCTAGAATATGGTGTTAGCTTGGCTGGATAGGCCTAGGAACAGTCAAATATCTTGTTTCTGTAAGGGCTGCCTCACATCTTGACATGGTGCTCTGAGCTTTGGGTCCATTACTGTGACACCACCTCATAGCAAAAAAGGCAAGTGTTCAAGTAGAAATAAGTAAAGATTCACATTACACAGATTTAAATACAGATCACACATTTTAAAGACCAAAACCAGGTGTCAGGAAGAGCATAGACCCAAGTTTACACATTCACCTGAGCATTTAATGAGCCACAAAAGGGCTCATACTCTCGGCGTTTCCTGCTGTTAACAAGCTGTCTGAACACCTGTAAAGCCTCCTGGCAAGGATTCAGCTCCTAAGCACAGTGACCTTTCCGGAGGATGCTCCTGATGTGGAAATACATGGTGACTGTGAACATAAACAATTCCTCGTCTGCAGTCAATCAAACCTCCTGTCTCTAACTTTCTCCAGCCTATAACTTGAGCAAGACATAAGTTTAAACTCTCTTTCCAGAGGCTTATTGACTGCCTCTGTGTGTGTGGAATCACCTCCCGTCAAAATGACAAAGGGCTGAACTAACTGCAGGCACACCCGTGGCTTGCCAGGAGGTTAAACACCGCCCCGGACCCGGAGAGCTCAGCTCTTTCAAGCCAGGACATCAAGTAGACATGGAGAAATTAGGCTTGCCAGAGTCCCTAAAGAGCAGTAATGGGTGCTGTCCACAGCCAGACTCTGGATGCTGAACATAGTATGGGAAAACACCTGAAGTAGATGTGTGGCACAGCTCCAGGTGGGAGGGTGCAGGCAGATCCAGAAGGAAATTGTCCCATGCCCTCCAGAAGAAGAACAAGGTCT